CCATTCTCACCAGGAGAAGGGAGAAAAAGAGCAGAAATACATGGCTGTTTCTGTTCGTCCTTATTTGTATGTTAATGCATAAATTATCGTTAGAAATGTAAACCCACACAGATATAATATTAACATGGTCAGGTGGTGGTGACGCATGCTTTTTAACCCCAGCACCTGGGAGACAGAAGAGGCAGAGATCTGTGAATTCAGGCCAGCCTGGTACACAAAGTGAGTTCCAGAACAGCCAGGACTACACAGAGAAATCCTGTCTCTAAAAATAAAAAATAATAATGATAACAATGATGATGATGATGATATTGATGTGACTATGACTATAAAATGGATTGTTAAGGAAAAGTTAAATGCTATTTTAAGTTTTCAAAATGTTTAGGCTACAATCATTACCTTTACAAAATTTGCTACCTTTGAGATGAAAGAGTAACTATTTACACCAGTCATCTCTTTTACATAACAAATCATCCAACTCAAACTCATTGAAGAAACCAATAATCTTGACAGCATGCTTAGACATCTGTTGATCCTGAAGAGGTGATTTGGACAGTTGGAACCAAGAAAATGGAAAACTCTTACATTCCCAAGTCTGGAAGTTGATTCTGGCTGCTGCCTAGAACTCGATCTTCCACATGCTGTCCCCTCTGTCCCCTCTACCTCACCATACATCAAAGATATAGAGAAAGCAAGCCGGAACTGAGGGGAAATCTTCCTCCCTGCAGCTAGCTTTCAAATGACTGGAAAATGGGATGCAGGCAGCAGCAGGAGCAAAGGCAGCAATGGTCTTACCCAGTTGTAAAGCTTGTGAGCTACAAAACCAATCTGCTAGGCAAAATGTACCCACCTGTGAAATAGTGGCATGCCTGTTAATGGGTGTAACCAATTGTCCTCTGGATTTGAGACCAGTTGCACAGAGGGAAAATCATGCCTGAGGAGGTCATAAGCACAAGGGGAACTTGGTACTGTTGTTTAAATTAACACAATATCAAATTTGTAGTAATATTATGATGTGACGCTCTTTGGACTCTTTTTTTAAATTTATTTATTATATATACAATATTATTGTCTACATGTATGGCTTCAGGTCAGAAGAGGGCACCAGACCTCATTACAGATGGTTGTCAGCCACCATGTGGTTGCCGGGAATTGAACTCAGGACCTTTGGAAGAGCAGGCAATGCCCTTAACTGCTGAGCCATCTCTCCAGCCCCATCTTTGGACTCATTTGAGAGCCCGCCATCCAGCTCCCAAATGAACCACACACAGTCTTATTCTTATTTATAAAGAGGATAATCTTGCCAAAATGAAAGCAAACTCCTATGGAATTTCTCCGAAGCCCTATGGAATTTCTCTGAAGTAAATTTGAACTTCCAGGAGCAGATGTGTATCATTGTCATGAAAACCTTAGGTTAACAAATCATTTTAAATGCCATCTTCTGTAGATCTTTGAAAGGTTTGAAGACTATGCTTCTTAGATATACCTATTTAACCTAACAAACATACCTAATGTTACAAGTTTGACTGTTATATAATAACTACTACCCTCATTTCTTATTCATACATTGCATTTTCTAATGAATTGCATAAGCACAATACCCCAAACAGAATAGAAACATATATACAGTATAGCAAAAAATGACCTAAAATTTGTATCAATATACAAAATCCTTTAAACAAAAGTAAAACATGTATACAGTGTAACAAAATTGACTTTGAATTTATTTCAGTATGCCAAAATTCATGCCAATGTACAATATCTGAGAATGATAGTTGTCTTTTTATCCCATATTCCTATGCATATAACAAACATCCATAACACACCAATTTATCAACAACCTCCCACAGCCCAGCCCTTAAGAATGTGGACGTAGTTTTCTCTAAATTGCTTCTGGCTGGCTGTGGGTGAAGGCATTTTCAGGGTTCCAGGGAGAAAATTTTGAAATAATGACCGAGTCCAGGGAAGACCATCAGGAACCTTTGTTGATAAATATCACCTGTCAAGTTGTAGGTGGTCTTCCTTGACCAAACCAAATCCAAGTCAACCTGAACTGAGTCCACAGCCTCTTGTTTCCTGTGGAAACAAAAACAAAATCGCTTCCCCGAAGCATTTTTGATTTCCATTTGACAAATAATATTTTTTGATTTTTTAAAAGTTAAGGCATTCTTAAAATATCTAGTCTTGTTTATTTCCACAGACCTCTTTCAATTCTGAGTCTCTTAGCAGCTGTCCTTTGCATTTTAGCAAGCAAACAATTCAAAATCAACACAATGGCACACAGAGAACACAGGCTCCAGACTCCCTGTGTATTTCCCATCTCGTGCGGCTTGTACTTTTACACTCTCTTTAAAGACTTCATTTTGTTTTTGAACTATTCATTTTTTCTATGACTATACCCCTCTTCCTTTCTTTAAACCTACGCACATTGTTAAACACACTTGAACCTGTTTAGAGGTTTTTCCATATGGACCTTTTTATTGCGTATGTTTAGCATTTTCTGACTGCAGGAGCAAACTTTAAACTGATAAGCCATGCCTGGATACTCCGCATGGCTCTTGGCTGTTTCTGCCTCCTGAAGGCCAGTGCTTACACTGTGGCAGGCATCTTTGTCTTTTGTTCCTACTTTATATATCCTGGGTGTTCAAGAACTCACTGGCCGTCAGAAATCGTCCAGCTGAAACTATTAAAGGAGACGCATCCCATTTTTTAAACTTCTTTCAGGCTCTAGATAGAAATATGAGCACCACGTCGGTGTGCCAAACTGTAGTAATATTATGATGTTACACTCTTTGGACTCTTTTGAGGGCCCGCCATCCAGTTCCTGAATAAATCACACACAGTCTAATTCTTATTTATAAAATCTTATTTATAAGCGAAGAAACTTCGCTTGGCTTGTTTCTTGCCCACTTTCCTTAACAAATTATCCCATCTCCCCTTTGGCCTCTGTGTTTTTCCCATTCCCTTATTATTTAAATCTTATGCTTACTCTATGGATCGCTATGTAGCTGGTTGACTGGCCTCTGGTGTCCTCCTCCTTCTCGGGATGCTACTCCAGAACCCCTCCTCCCAGTTTTCTCCTTTTGTATATTCTCTCTGCCTGCCAGCCCTGCCTATCCTTTCTCCTACCTCATGACTGGCCATTCAGATCTTTATGAAATCATCAGGTGGTCGAGGCAGGCAAAGTATCACAGCTTCACAGAGTTAAACAAATACAACATAAGCAAAAGTAACACACCTTAAAATCATATTCCCAACACAAACTGCCTCCTAAATATCGATGTTTATACCCATAGATAAAAACTACTCTCAGCCATGTTCAGAGAAGCTCCTCTTTGTAGAGAACAACAGTGGACACACAGACTCATGGCTACCCAAGATGCTGAGAAAAAGTGACAGCTGATGGTCCAGCCCTAAACAAGGCGTTTATGCAAACCCCTCTAAAGCTCAGGGAACATTGCAGAAAAAAAGAAAGGAAGCATTAAAGAAGCTATATAATATTCTGAGCATAACCCAACCATTGCAATCATGAACTTATAGCAGCTGTGGCTACTTTCCTTGGTCCTGCAAAACCCTGGCTCTGTCAACAATCACTCTGGGATGGGGAAGGGCTCATCAGATCCTACTCCTCCCTTCTGAGCTGTTAATGATAGAGTATGAAGAAGGCAGAATTACTGTCTTCAGCTATATACCCACTGTTAAGCCCGTCAGGCTCCAATGGACAGCTCTAAACATGTGGTCACATAGACAGCCCAAGAACTTGGCAGGTACAAAACAGTACAAAAAGACAGGAATGTGAGAGAGAGGTTTGCAAAGAGGGAGGAGGGGCATACAAAGGTGAGAGGGGGATTTTAAAAAAAAATGGTGGTTTGAGAGTAATCAGTATATAGACATTTATGAAATTGTCCATGGAAAATTTTAATTAATAAAAAAACTGACCCAAAAAGCATGCCTGTTTCTAAAGCAAAGTCAGAAATACAATGAACACAGGATGCTTCCTCTGTGTCCAGGAGGCGTCTATTCTAAGAAGCAAGACAGTAAACACTGCAATAAGTACGGTGCAAGTGTGCACAGTGGCTTCTTAGATCAGATATTTAGCTACCTGTTGATAATACAAGCCTAGTCTGAGGAGATGTTCTCTGTTTGGCTGGGGTACCCATGCCACATCACTTTAAATAAAATCCCTATTACCGTAAAAAATGAGGATGCTTGAGGGCTAACCTGCTTGGGAAACTGAAATACAGCAGAGATGCAGCTTAGAATGCAGACTGGGGAGTATCAACGGAGGACGGTGAAAAAATCAGATGTGGTGAGATCATGAAGTGTTTTCTGTTACTGGGAAGGAGAACTACTATGGAAATTTTTAATTTTAGAGTCAGGCTCCCATTATGTAGCCCTAGGTGACTTGAGATTTACTACATAGACCATGAGAGACTCTTACTCACAGATGTCCACCTGCCTCTGCTGCTCAAATAGTGGGATTAAAGATGTGCACCAAAGAACTGAACACTCCAGCTTATTGTGGAGATTTTAAACCAACAACTGAGACAATCAGCGGGGCTTTGAAGAATCATTTAAACTGCTTGTGAAAAGTTGAAGGAAGAAGAATGTGAGTCAAAGTGGGAGTGACTTCCAGAATCCAAGAAAGAGAAACTGTGAAGTTAAACCTAACATGGTAGGGAGCTGACAAGAGAAACTGTGATGTTAACCCTAACGTGGTAGAGAGCAGACAAGAGAAACTGTGAAGTTAAACCTAACATGGTAGGGAGCTGACAAGAGAAACTGTGATGTTAAACCTAACGTGGTAGAGAGCAGACAAGAGAAACTGTGAAGTTAAACCTAACGTGGTAGAGAGCAGACAAGTAGGTTGAAAGTATAATTGAAAGAAAGTGGGGATTGGTGGATATGAACAGCATAGGAAATGGAGACCAATTCTCAAACATGACCTTCAGATTCCTGAGAGGACACTACATAAACAGTAGCTACCAAAGATAGAAACTTACCTAAACTTTGTAAAGCAGTGCTGGTGGCTCAGTTCCAGCTCAGACAGCCGTGGATAGGACACCAGCAGGGTAGCGCACAGGTCTGGCTGGAGGAGGCAAACACTAAATGATGTGGGGAAATGGGCAAAAGATAATTCCCTTTCCTTCTGTCTCTTCTGCCATACACTGCACTTCATGACACCCCCAAAAATGTACTTCTTGACACACCCCAAAAAACTTGTATGTTGAAATCATTGTAGAGCAGTTTGGGGTGGACAACATTTTTTTTTTTTTTTTTGGAAAATATCATAGGTGGGAGCAAAGAACCAAGAGATTAAATCCAAAAGGATTTCTTCAAGTTCATTGGGAAGAACAGAAGGTAAATCTTGGAGATTATATTGTAGGAGAAAATGCAAGCATGACCTGGCACACTATACTTCTATATAAGGAGCACGGCACACCGTGCTCCTGAAGTCAAAACGCAGAATTCTAAAGTAGCATGAGTAGCCAGTGGCTGGCCTGTGGGAAAGGCTGCGCTCTCCAACTTTGATGTGCTTCTTCCTCTTAGAGACCCTGGTGGTGTTAGCACTCACTATCCAGCCCAAGGTAATGTGCCTACCGCTCACAGTCAATAGGCTTCCACAAGTGGTTGCTCATTGTGATAAAACAGACACTGTACGCTGAAACTGTCTCCAGAGTGGTACATCTTCTAGGCCCTTTACCGATCCATGGACATTGCTGTTAAGGAGACCCCACACACACGTAACAACGGCATTACATCATCTCCTAAGGAATATTTTATTAAGCCCTCTACACCAGAGACAACTACTCCATCAATTAAAACCTCAAGAGAGTATGTAAGCTAAAGTGTCCTAGCCAAGAAGTTAAGGTTTGTATAGGCCCATTTCTTTCATCACTAAAAATTAAAAATCCATAAGAGGGCTTGAAGAAATTTAACAATAATGGAATTTTTAGGGAAGGCTAAAACAACAAGAGCCTCCCAGAAGCCCTTTAATTGTGAATCGACAAGTGAAATTAATCAATTTATCAATTAATAAATGGCAGAATCTTCATGTTCCAGCTACCTCCTCCAGACCCATCTAAACATTGCTGTATTAGGGACCAACCCTTCAACACAGAAATTTTTGTTGTACAGCTAAGGCCCAAACCACAACATACTAAAAAAAAAATAACTATGATAGTTTGGGGAAAGGCAAGAGGAACCCCACACAACAGCTTCTGAGGAAGCAATGTCTATGAAAGGCACTCAGCAAGACTTCATCTCACCCTCATTATCGCCTCTCTCCCACGCCTTTGCCTCCTTCCCTCACCAGCCTAAGGCCCACGTTATGTCTTCTCCTGCTCTCTTCTTAGTCTTCACTTGCTGATGCTAGCTCGCTTCCTTCTCCTCTCTGCTCATTTTAGATCTTGGATAAAATAACAACCAGCCTTCTCTGAACTTACACCCGGGCTGCAGAGAGTTTCTGGAGAAAGCCGTATGCATGTGCAGACTGCTAACAGTGTACTTTAGATTTCTGAACTCCATCAGGCCCCTTATCCTCGTCATCTCCTCGCTAGCTCCAAACCCAGGCATTTCAATATGTCTTCCTCTTCTCAAAGGTCACTGTCTCGTCAACGCTGCCATCATGTGCATACTAAATCCTAAGGATGCTTTTTGAGTTTCCTCTCCCTCTCTGGAGACTTTTAGAAACTTGGGTCCCCAAACTTGCCGACTTCCTTCAACTTTGCTTTGCTTTTACCTCCATGATATCCCTCTCTCTTAGTTCTCTACACCCCCTCTTAATCCTTCCACATCACTTAAATGCTATTCATGATTTAAGTGCTGACCCTGCAGTCATTCCTAAATACTAGTGTTACCGGTTATATTGCCTTCTCTCTTACTTTGACACGCCACTAAAACACTTCTACTTTAATAACTTCAGCTAGGAACTTCTGTTATCTCAAGGCTATAACTAGTTTTTCAACAAAAGCATTGCTCTATAGCCAAGGTTAAAGATCCACAAATATCTCCGCTGGTTCAACTAAACTATTCTTATTATGTTTCTCAACCTAATTTCTGCTCTGTCTTTTGGCCATATTCACTCTGTAATTTGCAGTTATCCATCACTCAAGCAGCAAGATTCGGCCGGGAGTTATTGGATGTTCCTCCTCCCTTCATCCCCACAGTCAAGGATAATGAAGAGATATTTATTTCACTCCCATGGTCCCTTATCCATTCACTCAAATTCTGATCGTGTCACTGTTCCTTCCCTAATCAAACATAATTTTTGAATATTATTTCAAAACCCAGGCAAGTTTATATGCTTGTGGTTTTCACAGTTTAATTATCTGGAATGTCATTTCTTTTCCCACATTCATATTTCCAGGACTCAATTTCACCTGACAAATTAATCTCTCCTTGGCCCCTCTGCTGACTTCTCACATCCACCAAAATTTAGCCTCCCTACTGAATTTTTTACACAATACACTTAACGATAGCTGGTAATATGCTTTTTATTTATGTCATTATTTATTGGCTTTATCTATCCTGTTAAACTCAAAGATACCCCTAGGCAACCAGAGAGATGGTTTGGTGTGCAAGCCACTTGTCACAGAAGCATGAGGACCCAAATTCAGAACCCAGGCACCCACAAAGAAAGCAAGGCTTGACTGTGCACATTTACAACCTCAGTACTGGAGAAGGTGGTACCTGGGGTAGAGAATTCTTTTCACTGACTAGCGAGTCTAGCTGAATTGAGTTCCAAATTCAGTGACAGACTGTCTATAAATTAATTCATTAGGGGGCAATAGAGAAAGACATTCAATTCTAATTCGTGGCCTTCACATTCACACATGCACACAAAATATCACAAATGAACACATACACACCCCAGTGAGAGACCTTGTAGATAGATAGATAGATGAGAGAGAGAGAGAGAGAGAGAGAGAGAGAGAGAGAGAGAGAGAGAATAGGACACTCAATTCTGATTTCTCTGGCATGCACATGCACACACAATATATGAAAATTAACACACACACATACACACACACACAAGTTCCCTCTGAGTATTGATAGGTCTTCTTTTAAAGCTTTAGTAGGCTGCATGTTCTCTAGGAGTTACCTCTTCTCCACCTTGCAGTTGATATTCTTCCTGTTCACTCTTTGCCAAAGTACTATTTCTCCCATAGCATGTGCTATACAGAGCAAACATCTCTTTTTCCCATGCTCTGACATTAAACTGTTTAAACAGGAATGGAAGGACAATGACTTATTGTGACTTTTATTGCTATCTGGAGTAAATTAAATAAACTCCAGATTGGGTAAAGGGTGCCAACTAGAACACAAAGAAATTAAGTGGTCGGCTATATTTCAACTTGATCTACATGGAAGAATCATGAAAAGTACATGTCAACAGATCTCTGATGAACAATCTCTTGTTTGAGTATATTTGTAGCTCTTACAGATAAGACAGTGGGTTAGTTCCACACGAAATAAAATAAAGCTTGGTAGTAACTTCTTTTGATCCCAAAAGTTATTTCTTCCCAGGCTTTCTTTTATTGTTATTTTAACTGTTTGTTGCTTTAGTTTCTATTTGTTTAACATAAGGGAACTAAGACCCTGATCTCATTTTAATTTCCACCTATCACATCAACAAAATCCACAGAAGATAACACACTTTTATTTATGTGGTTTAATATTTTATTTGTATTCACTGAAGAAAACTTCTTCCTTGAAGACAGCATAGTATCATGAGATAATGGTTTAAAATATTTATTAGTAACTGGAAAAGACAGGCAGAGTCTTAATCATGCTATAGTTTAATTATAGCAATATAAGTATAATTAGCACCCTTGTAATAAATTACTAATTTACATGATGAATTGTCTTGCTTCCGTTTTCAAAATAAAAGGAGTTCTATACGTTATTGAATGGGTTCTTAATTTAAATTATTCTTCTGGATCCTGTACATCAATAACTAAAAATTAATTTGCAATTCTTTCTCTACATATTAATTTCAAGATCTCAAACCTGAAAGTAGATAACCATGAAAGAAGATAATTTTTATTCTTTTTATTTTACATCAATTCATTAAGAATGAACTTTCATTATTTAGCCACCAATTCTTAAAATTGATTTCAGTCAGGGCCAAAGAGAAGGCTCAGTGGTTAAGAACACTTGCTGCTCTTGCGAGGAACCTGGGTTCAAAAGCCAACACCCACATGGCAGCTCACAACCATTTGTAACTCCAGTTCCAGAGGTTCTGAAACCCTCATCCAGCCTCCATGAGCAGAAGGCACTCATGCAGCACACATGCAGGTGAAACACTCATGCGCATAAAAATTAATTAGTCATCTGGGCAGTGGTGGCATTTGGGAGGCAGAAGCAGATGAGTCTATGAGTTCAAGGCCAACCTGATCTACAGAGTGAGTTCCAGGACAGCCATGGGTACACAGAGAAACCCTGACTCGGAAAAATAATTAATTAAAAACTCATCATTTTTTGAGGCAGTGTCCCTCCCTGAATGTGGAGCTCACCCATTTGGCAAGACTCCTGTCCCTCAAGTACCAAGGAGCCTCTTGTGTCTTTTTTCCCCTGCACTGAGATTAGAGTTGCATACTGTTGGACTTGGCTTTTTAAGTCATGTCTGGGCATCAAAACTCACATTACCCCCAGGCTTGTAGAGCACGTACTTTCTTGACAGAACCATCTCTCCTACCCATTAATCTATTGCAAACAATTTTCGATACTTGCTGTCCTTGCTATTGGTATGAACAGAAATCAGCATTATGGATTTATGCCTAAGGTCTGGGGAGCTTTAGTGACAATGACAGAGAAATACCATTGGAGAACCAAACAAGCTGAAAAGGTGCTTCAAAGTTCATTTCAATTTTTTAGAACATAGTACATTTTGTACTACTCTAAAAATTCCTTGCTTGTATTTTTCAGCTTACTGTTTAAAGTTCATTTTAAAGCGGCATATTTTTCCTTTAACCATCATTTCACTTTTGGAAGGGAGGCCTTGAGAGCAAATTATAACTATTTTTAATGTCACCAACTTCCAATTGCTCTTTTCCCTTATTACTTTGCCACTTGCTGTAAAGAGCA